CACCTCTGGGAGATGCCTCGGGGCTCAGGAATCCCGCCTGGTCTCGGCAGAGCAGGGACACAGGGATGCCAGTCCCAGCCCCGGGGTGCAGCAGCTGCGCTGACACCTGAGCATCTGCCGGCAATGGAGGCTGCTCCTCACTCAGTCCAACTGCTGGGTGTCCTCCAGCAGGGAAACACCGTGCAAACCTACCTACAACAGGGCAACAGAGTCACATCTCAACCTAACTGGTTTGTTTTTTTCTTCTAAATAAACTGCTTTAAATACCTACTTCAGACAACCTGGACAGAGCGGTGTAGCTTTCCTCTCACTATCTAAAATAAGGCCTCTAACAATGTTATCACTTTCCAAAACACATCTGTCCCGCAGCTCCTAGCCCAGACAATTGGCAGGTAACCAGTTAATAAATGTCTTCGCCAGACTGTTGAATAGGCTGGCCCCGACTCAAGAGTGATGTCAGGGCCATTCAATGCACTATAATTGGAAAAACCTGGGAAAAGCAAGCCCATGTTTTTTAATAAATAAAGGGTGTATTAGCAGCCTCCTGCCTTTATTCACCACGGTGTGTACCTTGTTCAGTAGCAAAGTGGGATTTTATTTTTTTTTCTGCTGCTGCTTGCACAGTGATTTCTACTTTGGATTTGATGCCAGTTTCCAGATGTGTCTCAGGCCAGGAAGTCAGCAATCAGTCTGGATAAAGCCTCTGGGATTTGCTGCAGATCATCTTCTGACACACACATCCTTCCTGCACCTTCTCTTATGATATTGGGGCACACCCCTGGTGCCCAAAAATAAAATAAAACAACCCAGAGCCAAGCAGAATCCCGACTAGGATGCTGTGATCACTTTCATATTCAATCCATGGGAATATTTTTAATTAATTCAGTCCATCGAAGCCTCAGAGGCAGCATTTGAGGGACCTTTACAACACCAGAGTGTCTATATACATAAATCATTTCAACAATTGCAGGTTCCCTGTCTGCTGGAGCAGCTCCAGGCAAAACTCATCTCCCACAGACCCTCACCAGTGGTACCCACAGGACAGCATCAGCTCCTCAGCTCGGCCATAGAACATTGGAGGGGAATGAATCCTCCAAAGCACTTGTCCTCAGAGGAATAAATGAAGATGATAAATGAGTTTTCTGGGCTCTGTGTGAGCAGCTTTGGGAAGATGAAACCCAAGCGGGTGACATAAAGGATGTGGTTTGCATGGAAAATAATCCCAAGCAGAAGCACTCAGACAGCAATATGCCTTTCAAACCTCCCTGCATCCCTAAGAAATGAAGCACCCAGATTTGCCAGCCTGAGGAGAGGGGTTTAGCCCCACATAGCCAAGCTCCACGCTCACCCAGCCACGTGGTACCATCTACTGCAGGACAGGGGAATCCCAGCCCAAGGGGACACAATTACTGAATTACTAACAAGACAATTTATTTTTCCCCCCACCAGGCATTTAAGAGGCTGTTGTTGGGCCTCTTTCGCTCACATTATGATTCCTTTCATCTCCCCATCAAAGCACAACCAAATTAACACCAGCACTCCTCCCCACGAGCTCCCACAGCCTCTCTGATTTCACAGGGCACCTGGGAGCCACTGCCAAAACAGGAAAGCAGGCGCCTAATTGAAAGGGAGTATTTGGGAGTCACCCTACACAAAAATTAGCAGAGATATGCTAGGAAAATAAAATAGTGGGCATTAACGGATGGCTTATCTTCTTTTTTCCGTGACTCTAATGTTCAGGATGTGAAAAGGCCAAAAAGTTTCACATACTGTTCTGAGGAGCTGGTCAGGGAGAGGAGCATCCTCTCCTCTACTTTCACTGCTCCTCCCAAAATAACTCAGGTTGATTTTGAGGTATGGACCTCCGTCATTAAAATACAGACATACACAAGCTAAAATAACCCTGCATTGCTACAATGAAAATTTGTAACAAGTGCTGGGTCTTGGTGATGGGCTGAGAAGTCGAGCGCTGACTGATTTCAATTTACCTGTGTTAGGTTTGCTAAAAACACTAACCTGTGCCTAAGAAGAAAGGGAATGGGAATGTCTCCTGTGTGAAGGAAGGAGCACAGGGGTCTCTGTTTCTGCAGAAGGGGCTGTATTTTAAGGCGAGCGGCCAGAGACAGCTCCAGGAGGCTGGTTTTCAGAGGGAGCCCCTCTCCTCATTACCCACCCTTGCAGAGATCCCAGCCTGGACTGTGACCAAGCCCCAGGGGAAATGCCAGCTGAAGCCAAGGGAGGATTTAGGATTAACTCCAAAAAATCAGCGAGTCCCACCCCACCCTGCAGGCAGCCTGTGGAAAGGAGCAAAAGCCCTGGGGCCCAGGCAGAGGGACAGGGGAGCCTGGTAGCAAAAGGCTGGCAGGCTCAGAGGGGTCAGCAGCATCTGGACAAGTGACCCAGAGCACTCCCTGTCTGCTGGAGCCACTCAGCTCCTCCAGTCCCAGATCCTGCCTGCAGGAGCCCAGCTGGCTCTTGGAGCAGGAGTGAGCCACAGAAAGAGAGGGAAAAAAAAGGAGAAAGAGCAGCAGGAAGCCCTGCTGAGAAGCCCCCTTTTGTGTAAACATGCTCCATCCTCAGACTAAAAATAAAGGCAAACCACAGGAAGGGAGTGAGTGCTTGGACAATATCCGATTTGGTGTGTGCCTGGGTGTGAGCTGCGGGAACGGGGAGAAGAGCAGGGGACTCCACCCAGTGCAACCACACAAAGGCAGCCAGTTAAGACCTTCAAGATGGACAGGCATTCCTGGAGATTATTTAAATTCAAGTAACTGCTGCTTGGCAGATGTGCAGTCCTTTGGTATGTGCGCAGCACTTGGAAATGTTAAGTGAGAGAAAAGGCTGCCATGGCAGAAAAGGCAGGATGACTGCACAAGGCCCATTTTACAGGGTCAGAGGCCGAGACCCAAGGCTGTGAACTGAAACCCCATAAACCTGCCATAAAGCAAGGACACGACCCAGAGAAGCTGTCAGCTCACAGCTCCAGCCTCAAAAACCACCTCTCCCTGCATGCTGCCTCTGCATCTCAGCTCCTGCTGCAGCCACAGAACCAATCTGCAAACAATCGCACGCTGATCAGAGGAATGCCCACCCCAAAGGGGTCTCAAATGCTTCCCCCACTGCTGGGCTTTGCTGCATTGCACCCTGCCATTGTCACCAGCTGGCTCTGGAGGCTGGGGCTGCAGCACCCCCTGCATGTCCCACCTGCAGACTCTCGGCAGGAGGGATGCTTTGCTGGTGGGTGCCATCCCAAGAGACAGGCATGCATCCATGCATGCATGCCTGGAAAGCGGGCAGCACAGCGTGAGGAGGCTCCTCGGAGCCCAGCGCTCACCCCTGGTGCTGACACACCACTCAGAGGCCTTCTGGGGAAATGCAGGGCTTGGGAGGATCCCCCTGCCCAGGCTGGAAGGAAACCTCAGCCTCACAGGGAAGCGCCTGTGGAAGCAGTAGAACCACAGCTGTCCCCTGCCAGCTGCAGGTCCCACCCCAGGGACTGCTCTGGATCTGGCACCATCAGCCCGATGTCCTTCCATGCACTGGAAGCCCTCCTCTCTTTAGTCACCTGCACTGTTCAGCCACCTCATTTCCCTTCCTTTCTCTATTTTCTGTCAGAAGAAAATGACAGTGCTCTGCAGTGGAGAAAATCAAAGACAACTATGTTGGCCTCCACTTGGCCATGTTTCCTGCTGATATTTGTATTTGTTTAATTCTTGTCTCCTGGTCCTATGTTCACTTTCCTACAATCAAGTCTCGCCTAGAGTATTTCTCTACTATTAGAAAGGTCTATTACAAGCACAACAAAAATACAGCACACTCCCCCCCAGCCCCGTTTCCTGTAGAAAACAGCTTCCTATGAAACGCAGCTGTTTGGAGCAGGTCACTTGCTTTCTCTGCAAAACACGCCACAGCAACACAACTGTCCTTACTTCATTCTCATTTACAAGTATTGTTGAAACTTTCACAGGCTCTCATTTGGGGCATTTCCTACATGCTAAATATAAAGCGTAAATGCCTTTCCATAAGGCTCTGTCTGACAGGGGAGCAGCTGTTTCTGTCCCCATGCCACAAAATAAAACAGCAGCATGAATGACACCTGTGCCATCAGCGCTACGAGAACCCACACAACGCCTCCTGCCACCCAGCCCAGCAGCCGGATCACAGCTGCCAGTGAAAACTGAAGATCTTTCCTTAAACTCACTCTAGTAGGTCACTTGCAACCCCCTCAAGGTGCTGCTGGACGCAGAGGAAGCCAAGAAAAAGGTGACACCTTCTGTTTACTCAGCTAATTACACCTCGTTATTGCTGGAGTGGCTGCGGCGCACTGAGATGTGTTTCCCAACACACAGACAGAAGAAAGGGAACAGGACTTGGTGTGAGCAGGGCTGCAGGTGGGAGCCCTGAGCCTCCCCCTTGCCTGAGCTGGAGCTGTCACTGAAGGCTGAACTCAGTCTGGGAAAAGCTAGCAGGAGAACTCCCACTCGTGGGTCCTTGAAACCCCGGCAGCCACCTGCCCTCTCCCAGCTCCCTGCTCAGATCTCCAGCACAGCCCTGGGCAGCAGCAGAGTGACCCACAGCCAGGGCCTAAGTGACCTCAGAGGTCTCTGGACAAGATCTCCATAGCTCAAATTCACAACCCCCCATATTCATGGACACAATGCCAAATTTGGGAGCAGAAGGCCACAAAGAACACGGCAAACACAGATGCTTTATGTTGTTAAAAAACCTCCAAGTGAAACATAACAGGAGCACAAATTGAGAGCTCAATCCATGTGGTTAAACACTTAAATTAATAAGGCATTTTCAGTCATGCTCTGGAAACACTCCTTGCAAAATTATGAGTTGTCTCTAAAAGATCAGTACCAAAGGACAGGGGATACATCTGGAAGCTCTGAACTCTCCCACTGTCCAAGTGAGTGTCACTCCACAAACACAGCTTAGGAGAAAACCCCAGGGAACTAATGCCTGCTGACCCCAATGCAATGAACCCTCAGTTTTACCTGGATCAAGATGTGTAAAGGATCCAATGACAAAGTCCAGCGTTGAGACAGCCAGCAGGAAGAGCAGCAGAAGCTGGAGCCTGATGATCCACTTCACCCCAGCCAGATTGATTCCCAGCAGGCCGAGCAGGACAGCCAGGGAGATGCCACGCACTGCCCAGATGTTGCTGAGGCTCAGGACACCTGCAATGGACTCTGCAAAGCCAGTGATGTACATGGCACCTGCAACACACTGAGGGACACAGCTCTGTCAGTGGCCTGTGGGAGAACAAGGGATCCCCATCCACTGTGCCCACGCTGGGCTGTGGGGGCCTCTGTTCAGACAGACAGACAGACATTCGCTGTCGCAGCACAACCTTCAATGCTACTCTGGCCTGCAGGGACTGAACCTTATTGCTGTGAGACAGCACACTGCCCAGGCAACAGAGCTACTGCCCAGGCAAACAGGGAAGGCTGGGTGCTAGGACCAGCAGCCCAGATGTTCCACTGTCACATCCACCCTCTATTAACACTCCAGGAGAAACCACACGGGCTTCTCTGAGAGAGAAAAGTGTGAGTCAACTTCTATATTTCTTCCCTTCTTCTCCTTCTCTGGAGGAAAGGGTCCCAGTTCACACCTGCCTGAAGAACAGCAGTTTGTTTCCCCCCTCACTGCCTCCTGGGGGTTATTTTTAACTCAATGTTTAGTTTGGATACAAACTCTGACGTTTCACCAGCTCCCCATGTCGCTGCTGGAATGGAGCCTGCACTTTGGAGGAGAGCACATTGTGTGAGCTGTCCCTCCCTGAGCTCCCAGGAAAGCTGCTTGTGTGCCTTGCAGCAGGACAGGACACACACTCAGCCCCAGGTGGCCAAGAGCCTGCAGGACAGGACATCTGCAGCATGTCAGGACTCAAACACCACTGCAGGACAACAATCCTAAATACCAGGATGTTTCCCTCCAGAAATTCCCAGTAGCCGACATTTCAGCAACAACCCTTTCCAGGGCATGGCACCCCCGGAAAAGCAGGTCAGTGCAGGAGATGCATTTGATACGGCAGGTGGGACCTCGGGTCCTGCAACCCACCATCCGTGTCCACAGATGAGGGATGTGCAGCTGCCACACGAGTGGAAGGGAGAAAACCACCCAAGCCAGCAGGATCAGAGCCCTCATTCACTGCAGATGCCCCCGCTGGGACAGACCCAGCACTGCTCCACTGAGGGTGCTCAGAACAACCTGGTTCGTGCCTGGGAGCTGCAGGATTTGTGTTGTTTTCAGCAAGGTTGATGGCATTCAGATGTTCAGATTCAGACATGTGCAACTTGGAGATCCTGGAGGATTCACTTCCATCACAGGCAGACACCTAGAGCAGGGGAGCTACACCCTGAGAGTCTTTCTCTGCAGCATGTGGAGTCATTCCCCACTTGCCCCGGTCAGAGCAGGGAACAGGGAGTACCCCATTTCTGGCAGCAGTTGCCTTATGGCAGAGGTTACAGCACCCCCTGAGCATCCCGTAGCAGAGGATCAGTCTGCAGCTGGTGCAGAGCACGTCGGGCAGAAAGCACAGCTGAGAAAAGAAAGGCATCAGCAGCTCTTGGGAGCAGGTAAAGTGATTTTAAGTGAGTTGCCAGCTCCCAGCCTGCAGCCCCTGTGCATATGGGATGCCAAGCCAGGGGCCAGGGCTGCTGCAGCCCAGCTTTTACGACCCTCAGGACAGGCTGCAACCTGATTGCTTTCCCAGACAGGGTCCTCTCGGAGAGCAAGAGTGGAAAATATGACAGGAAGGATTCTCATGTGTGGCCCATTTCCATATCTTGGCTTGTTACTGGGTTCAGTTCATATTTTATGGACACTTGCTTTTAATCTGGAGTGAAAGGAGGAGAGGGGATTATTTTTGGTTTGGGGGCTGTTAAGGGGTTTTGGAGATTGCAGTAAGCCAGTCAGTTAAAAACAAACCTCCATAAAAATGCTTCTCTGCTCACCACATTTTATACTGTTCATAACATCTTTATGAGGGGAAAGGGTTAAATTACTGCAGGTTTAAGTGATTATTTTACATTCTTTTTGTACACTACTTGTGTATTTTTGTGCTTCACCACCACACCAGCTCCTTGGCATCTTTCAGAAAATCCAGAATTGTGACTTTTGGCTCACAAGAAGTCAATTAGCTGTGGCCCTTGCCCCTGCCCAGCTCTCCTCCCACACCAGCCCCACTTCTGCTGGCACCCACTGAGAAGCAGCCGAGGCTTGCCCAATCCCTAAGGGTATGTGGAGCTCTCCAAGGCCAACCTGCCAGTCCTCAGCCACTCACTGAGCTTTGCTTGGCCACCCTGACCTCTCCTGCTTCATTTAATTTCAGTCTCCCGCCAGCAAGGGCATGTCCTGACAATGGGGGTAATTTGGGATGGGAGGACGTGTCCTGCATGGCTTGTCCAGACACTCAGCTCCTCCACCAGGGTGACCCATGCCGGGCAGCACATCGCCATGCACAGGCTTGCTCCTGGGGAGCAGCGTGGGGCTGAGTGCTCCCTGTGCTGCTCTCCCATGCTGTCCAGCACGGTGCAGCATTACCCAGATTTTATCTGAAATAATACATTCTGCAGCAGGACAGAGCAGGATTAATATCTGCATTGCAATGTTTCCAAATTTTCTTTGAATAACCTTTTAAAATTACCTGGCCAAAAATGTAAAGGAGGCCAATGGTGCCCCCTACTTGACCTCCAAGGACAGTAGAAATCATGGAGTAGACTCCTCCACTTCCAATGCTGCACTTCTCACACACCCCAATTCCAGACAAGACTGTCACCAGGGCAACCAGAATGACAAAGGACACCAAAAACATGCCCATTACAATGCCAGTGTTTCCCTGGAATGAAAAAAAACAAAATCAAATAAAGATTAATTCACACCAATCTGCTGGGACAGAATAAGAACCAACCCACTTCTTGTCACTAGTGAGCTACGAAACTGGAGTCATTACAGATTAAAAGAAACACACAGAGACACCCCTACTTGTCTAATTAACGTAACTTATTGCCAAATTTAGAGCCTTTATTAGCAGCCCTTTGATGAAAACCTGTCTTGTCCTTGAGCCTGAGGCTGGGCAGACCTTTGCATGAGCAGGTTCTGCTGTCAATGGGCTCCTCCATGAATCACTGATTTTGTCCTCTGGTTTAAAAGGAATGAGGTCAAACAATGATTCAGCCACCATAGTCAGGGGATCACTGCCTGTCTGCACGGTTTAGAATGACATGCTTTAAAATACCCCAACACTTCCATAACAAAAAGTAGTTTCAAAATTGAACCCATGGGATTTGCAACGACTGATTTATTAACAGCATCGAGCTTGCATTTTAATTTTTCAGAACGTTTACCTTTGAAAGCTCTGATCCTTCCAAACAATGAGATCCCAAAGAACAAAACCCCAAAGGCAACACAGCGTGGAAGATAAATAACACTCCCATAAAGCAGCGTGTGCCGGACCTTATCTGCGGGGTGGACACAGAGTGGCAGGTGGCTCTCGCCCTGCCTGGACCTGGGGGACTTTTCTGCACAGCATTCAGCCCCATGGAAATAAAAAAAAAACAACCCTTCCTGCGTGGGGCAGAGGGAAAGCCCCAGGAGGAGCTGCTGCACCCGCCATGGTCTCACTGTGGGGTGAAGAGAAAAAGCCTCTGAGCAAACACAGCTGCAGGTTCCTGTTGGCCGCTTTAAGGATCAGCACAGCCCCTTTTTTGGGGTTCAGTTTGCCATTCAGGGCTGGATTTTCAGAAAGAGAAGGTGTTTAATACCTCCAAAAGAATTCAAGCTCTCTTCTGAGCTCAGGATCTTCCCACCCTCTCTCGCACATGGCTGTAATTTATTTTCCAGGGTCAGGAGTTTTCCCTTGTGCTCCAGCCCACCTTCCCCTGCTGACAAATCGCTCAGGCCAGTGCACAGCAATCAGAAGTCTCCTCCAGTGCCCAGTGCTTTGTTAACATCTGGTTTCCCTTCCTTTTACTCATATTCCAGGCCATGTCCACATCCCCTCTTTCCAACCTTGCTCCAGCAATGCTCATCTCTGAGGTCATGCTAGCCGTGATGGGGCTTTTATCCCCAGCACTAAAAGGTTGCTTCCCTGCTCTGGGGTTAGTTGAAATCCCAGATTTTTTTTTTCTTTTCTCTTTTTTTGTGAAAAAACAGAAACATATCCAGGATGTTGCTATCATCATAAAATCCTATTTTGGTTCAGCATCCTGCTGCCTTTGACAGGGGTGTTATCTGGTCAATGGGGAACAGAGCCAAGGCTTGCTATAAACACAGCTGTGATTGGGTCAGCACCACAGCCCACTCCAACCCCATACTTCTTTTTAAAAGGACAATTGTTCTTTTCCTTCAGCTGCTTATCCCAGATTAAATGGTTAATAGACATGATATGCTTCAGTTTAAAAAAAAAACAACAAACATATGCAAACATTAATTTAGCCTTGGGCTTTTCCAGAAAGGTGGTACCAGGCTATGACAGCAGTTAATGGGCAATCCAATGGATCCTACAGAAGAAAGGGTTAACACTAAGACCGAGGGGGAATGCTGGACTCACAGCAACAATAGCAAACAGAGAAAGTAGGAAGAAAAAGCCCCCATTAAACACTGATGCTTATTTATGCATGCATGCTGGAAGGGGTTAGTGCAGCAGCAATCCCTGTTGAACATTTCAGCAAGATTAGGTCCCCTGGAACTGCAAAGCTTTACCATCCCCAGCTCCAGCTCTGGAAATTTATAGCAAAAGCCTGACTCTGGGAATAGCTCAACATATGACTGTCCTCTGCCAGGGAAGCTTTCTGCCAACCCTGACTTCTCCTCCCTTCCCTTTCATGCTAACTTCCAGCTGGTTCAGTTTTTCTTTTATTTACTGGCTTTATTTATATTTGTTCTTGCTCCAGAAGTTATTTGCTTTCAAAGGAAATGTGGAGGAAATAAAATCAGAAGGAAAAGGAAGCTAAAAAATCATCCCAACTTTTCCACCACAACAACTGCAACTCCGCTCAACACCTCCAGCAAAGCAAATTTCAGTACAGAGTGCAAGTGTCTTCCAGCTCTTTTTGGAAGGTGTCCACCATGCCTGTGACAAGAACTCTGCCTGAAGCTCAAATCCCATCCATCTCTGGGAAACTTTTCCTCTTCTAATGGAAAATTTTGAGGCATAATACAATGTTTTGCATCAGGAGAGGAGAGTATTCCAGGCTCTGACTCTCAGTGAGATACTATTAAGGACCCAGCAGTAGAATATCCTTTGATAACAATGACAATTTCACCTGATTGAGGATCCACCATCCAAAAAATCAGAGACCCCATCACTGGCATGTTTGGAAGAGACCTGCTTCAGTGGTGTTGGGAAGATGGATGACTGGCTGTAACTACTCTACCTGAAAAGTTCTAATTTCTCCTCAAAAATACAGCACAAGGGTGTCCCTGTTCATTGTCAAGGTTGGTTGTTGAGTTTTCCTTTCTCTTTCTGAAAGCTAAGATAGGAAACCACTCACAAAGACCACTTCAGCTGCACATTTTAGTGGAACTTTTTAAAAAGAGGGCATGAGCAACATCTCTAACAAAGAGTATAGAATCCAAAACACTTGGATGGTGATGGACATACAAGGTAAGGAGAGGCAGAGGAAAATGTCTGTTCAAACATTGAACCAAGTCAGCACTTGCTCACCACAAGCCATCCTGTCCTCAGGAAAAGGACCACTCCAAAAATGTTGATCATGCAGGAGGTGAAGACCCCATCCCACGTTCCAAAGAGCACCGGCTCCCATACAAACAGCTGGATCTTCCACCAGGGCTTGGTCTGCGTTTGAGACACCTAGGGGAAAGCAAAGCCTGGGGTTTACCTCTCATGTTTTATGGACAGGCTGCACAAGTGGTGCTACAGCCAGCCACCAACAGGGGAATGGCCACCAAAAGCTGCTAAGACACCCCTTTGCTGCAAGTTATCCCTAAGATGAAGGGCTGTCAGGCTGTTGGGATGCCTGGGCCCTGAAAGAGAGGGCTCCCTAAAATACCCTGTTTATATTCTTGTAGGATAAGCAGCAACAGAACCCTACTGAGCCTCAGTGAATTAACCCCGATGCATGAACCAAAAACACCATTCAAGGGTCCTTCACAGAACCTGCAGCTACACACTCTGCTTCTCCTCCTGTCCCTACCAAACACTCCACCAAGGCAAGCAGGGTCCTCAGTGCATGGGAGAAGTCCCTTAGAGGATATGACAAACCAGGCTGGACCAGGCTGGACCAACAGAGTGGGTTAAGATGGTCTTCCCATCACAGTCATATCTGATCAGGACTCTTTACTTCTCAAGGAGACATGGGACTCTGGGACTTGAGGCACAGTGATTTTCCAGAGTTGCTGGAACCAAGATCTGAAACTTCAGGGAAACTGCAGCTTTTTCCTATGGCAACTGCTTCCTCTTGCCCTCTGGAAATCAAATCTCCTCTTTCCAAGTCACACACCTCAGATTTACATAGCAAAATGAGGGCAGTTTTGTTACTTCAGTCCTGTTTCTTTGCCACAGAGGTAACCAGGAGTGCAGAGGCCATGGAGATAGAAAGTTGGGAAAGGAGAGGACTCTCTGACATACCTGCTGTGCTTCCTCATGGAAGAGCTCTTGGACGTATCCCTCGCCTCGGGCACCATTCCGGCTGAACATCGTCTCCTCTGCGTTCCCTCTGCCTGCCCCAAGTGCAGCGCTAACACAACCACAGGCAAAGCTGCTCGGAGTGGAAAGTCAGCTCAGTCAAACTCCTGCACTGCTGGGTCCTCCGTTGTGGAAGATTCATGGTTTTATTCCAGCTTCACTGTGAAAGCAGGAAAGATGAAAGACACGACTGCTGCTTTCTCAGTCTGCCAAAGCACAAGGCCATTGTCCACACAGTCAATAGCAGCTTGGAGCAGATGCTGAACCAGAGCGACACCACAGCAAGCAGAGAGCAATGCTCCCCCAGCAGCCTCCCAAGCCCTGCTCCCAGCACAGGCTCCACCATCAGCCACATATTTAACAGCCCTTGGTAGCCTTTTCCAAATCTAAGTCCGGCATCCTGTAGCACTGGCTCCACAGCTCCACAGTGTTGTCTGCAAAATGCATTTCCTCTGGTTGGTTTTAAATCTGGTGCCTGGTAATGTCATTGCATGCTCCTGTGCTCCAGTGTCATAGGACACATGGATTATTCACTTCCCAGCACCACTCATCACTTCACAGCCTTGATCACGTCTCCTTCAGCTGTACTTTTTGCAGACCAAGGTCCTGTCAGTGTATTCAGTTACCCACAGTCTGTCATACCAGGTGTCAAGAGAGACCTTTTAGCTATTCCTCAGCACAGTACACCATGCCTAGGTAAGACAAAGAGGGCTGCAGCCAGAGGGGAGCAAGATTTGCTCCACAAATGTGGAGAGGGCAGTTTGTCTGGATCATTGGCTCTCCTGGGGCTGGTAATTTGCTGGCCGGCTGAGCCCACATGCTTACAAGAACCAACCATGATCACACAAGGTTTGTACCAATGGCTGGACAGCTTACCTGAGACCAGAGACCAAATTAATCACGGGCACAAGGCAGGAATCCAACAGATATGTGCTTTGTTGCACAGGGACAGAGACATACAGAAACTACTTTGTGCAACTCAGGACTTCTGCAGCAGGGTCTGAATGCCTTTCACCATCCTGCCCTTATTAGTCTGCTGTGAAATAGCCAGTATTAAATAAACAAAGCAGATGCAGCTCCACCACAGTGTTTCAGCTGCAGAAGGTCTCCTGCAGCTGGGGTACAATGGCCAGCACAGGAGTTGTTTCTTTGCCCTGCCCCACATGGCCAGTTAAGCAGCACCAAAGCCATAAGAGTTCACTGATGCCCTGCTGCTGCCTCCACATTTCTTGAAGCAAATAACCCTTCACAATATCACAAATGGTTGCTGTTACAGGGAGATTGGGGCTTCAAGCAGGGCAAAAGCAGCAGGAGCAGATGAACTCTAAAGAAACGAAGCTCATGTTTTGTTTATTTTTTTCTTTGTTTTTATAGCCACAGTAATAAAAAATGGAAGAAAATACACAACGTGAAACAAGATTACAATTGAATAGCCATATTCTCCTAAGAATCCCCAGTGCAGTCCTTCCTCAACAGAGTAAAGCACTCAGTAAAGCATTCACTGGGGCCATCCAAACTCCAGTCTGCCACAGCAGTCCCACTGAGATGTGGAGAAACAGGGAGGCTGCAGCCCTGAGGCCCCTGCTCTCCTAAACCACTCCACCAAGGCAGCCAGAAGGAGATGGCTCCAACCCCTGAGAGTAGCTCAGGGCTGAAGTGACTCATTCAGTGTGTGTAACATTACATGGATAGGTGTGATGCACCCATATTACCCAGCTGAAACTTGTGAAATGCAGAAAGAAGGGTTGCATGCATGGATTTTAGACCTGAAGAACACCTAGCAAGAAATGTTACCTGCCTAGACATTTAAATCCCCTTATCTCACCATTCCCTTCCTTTTCCTCTGCGTTAAAACTCTTCTCCTGCCCTGTGCTCGGGAGCCCTTTCTGCTCAGCTACAGCTTACCTTGGTGTAAGATCTTCTTCCTCCACAGTCCCAGGAAATTGCCTCTGCACTACTGCTCCTCTGTGGCATTTCCAACTGCCTAAAAGCCTTATTACCCAATTCTGTAATTATTTACATCCCACCACAACTCACGGATCCATTAGTCCCTACGAGGCAGCCAAAGCAAGCACAGGAGGGGGTGTAAAGCATAGAAGTGGAAGCTGAACAAATGCACTGACAGCCACATCCCAATCCAGGAACATGCAAGAATTTCTGCAATTTAGGGTCTGCGAGGGGATAGTCCTCGGGGCAGGCACTCTCCTCTTGCCCCAGGCAGTGCTCTATCAGCACAGGGATATTTTTGGGTGCTATTTTGTATCTAGGTCACCTACCCGGAGGAAGTTTTTTCTGCTATACACACCAGTAGGATAAATAAACTTAACAGACACAATTTTGCTCTAATATAAATGAGCCTCTAACTTGAAAGTAAATTGCTGTTATTTTTCCTAAAGTTTCTGCCAAATACACTAACCAGTCTATAAATTAAAGACGAACGTCTGTTTTAATCTTTCCATACCATTTAGCACTCAAGAGAGCAGAAGAGCACTAACAAACCTCACAGAAACATTTACAAAGGCTCATCTCCTTTTCCTGCAACACTTCTATATTTAATTGCAAAACCAGATTCCTATAGATTAAATTTCTCTGCCCTCCATGCCCTTTCAGAGCACTATTTTATTAATCAGCACATTAAAGCTGCTCTGAGCTACTCAACAGCTGGCTGGTTTGGGGGAGGAAAGGTTAACGCCTTCCCAAGCACAACTGCGTGTGGTCCCACGGTCTCCGGAGCCTCCGTCCTCGCCAGAGGAGCTGCTCCTAAAGCCTCTCCTCCCAAGGGACACAGCAGCCAACAGCATTTTAGTTTTAATAAATCCCTTCAACTCTTCTCTTAAAAACACCTGATTTAGGAGTGTTTTAGGAAAGTGGAATTAAAGGGAAACGAAGCCGCCATCAGCGCAACAAAGGTAACGCCGCACAGAGCAGCGCTGGCTATTCCCGGTTACTCATTTACTGCACCAGCCAGGACAATTACCGAGCTCGTTGTGTTTCCACATATCTCCGTAGAGCAACGAAGGCTGCGGAACACCAGACGTGGGAAACGAGCCCGGACTCTCTTTAGCAGCTTCAGTGTTCCTGCGTGGCCGGAGAGCATTGGTTTGGCAGAGGCCACGGCTTTGCCAACACCTTCGTTCCGCGGGCAGCGGCCACCGCCACCCCGGGCTGCCCAGCCTGCCCGGGCAGCGCTCCGAATTACCCGATCCCTCTTCCTTCTGTTTGTTTTTTCCTTTTTTAAATTCTTTTTTTCTCAATTTTTCCATTTTCCCCCTCTTTTTCTTCTTTTTTTTTTCTTTTTGTTTCCCTGTTTTTATTTCTCTTTTATTTCCTTTTTACTGATTTTCTTTTACCTTTTTTTTTAACTTCCTCCCCACGCCGGTTTTTTTGGGGGTTTTTTTTTTTTGTTTTTGTTTTTGTTTTTGTTTGGGTTTTTTTGTGATGGTTTGGTTTTTTTTTTTATTAGCCTCTCCTTTTTCTTTCAACTTTTTGGGGTGGTGGGGCCTCTTTTCCACCTTTTTATTCCCCCTCCAACATGGTTTTCATTTTTTCAGCTTTCCTCTCCCCCGTTTACCTCCCTTCCTCCGCCGCCTCCGGCCCCACCGAGTAGCCAAGAGGTCAAAGCCAAGCCAAGCCAAGCCCGGTGCCAGCTGCGCGGTGCCCGGGCAGCCCCCGCGGCTCAGCCCGGTCCCCATCCCGGCTCGGGGGTGTCCCCGCGGTGCCGACCCCACTCACCTGGCGGCTCCTTGTCCCTCCCTCTCTCCCTCCTTCCCGCGGCGCCGCCTCCCGCCGGGGCGGCTCCGGGCGCTGCCACGTCTGCCCGGGCACCGCGCCCGCCCCCGCAGCGGCACCGGCACCAGCATCTGCCCGGCCCGGGCCGGTGCCACCCGTGCCCGGGACACGTCGGCTCCTGGAGCGCCCAGACCTCGCAGCGCCCAGCGCGGGGAACAGAAATCATCAGGGGCTGTGAGCAGATTGCCACTCAACCTGCAGTTCACGGGAGTGTGACAAAATAAGTGAATAAATAAGCAAATTCACAGCTGCTCGAGGAGACGCTGGCCACGGGGAAAAGAGGCTCTGATTCTGCACAGGAGAGGCTGCTGCGATATTTCAACAGGAACTCGATCCAGTCGAACTACCCAGCCCTGGGCTGCCATGAAATCCTGTGACCCTGCACAGGCAAAGCTCCACCTGAATTAAAGACAGGAATTTTGGATAGTCTCAGTATAAAGGGGATCAAATCTAGAGCCAGCCACCCTTCCTTAGAGCTTGTGTAGCACACTTTGATTTAATTTACTTCCAAAATGGGCTAGAGCCATTTTAATTTTCAAAAAGGATCCATACAAGACATCCATGTAGTCCAGTGAACCTGTTCTGATTTTCCTGCAAAGCCAGAGCATGAACAAGCCTTTACTCTTGAATAACTCCAAATTTCTGCAAGTGGCAGAAAAGGAAAGCAAGAGTTCAGAGAAGACAGATGTCTTTTCAAAGGAGGATGAAGCCTGAGGAAATCACAGAATGTCTGGGGTTTGAAGGGACTAAAAGATCATCTGATTCCAACCGCCCTGCTTTGGGCAGACACCTTTCCCTAGGTTGCTCAAAGCCCTGTCCAACCTGGCCTTGAACACTTCCAGGGATGGGGCATCCACACAGCTTCTCCAGGCAACTCGTTCCAGTGCCTCACCACCCTCACAGTAAAGGATTTCTTGCCAGTATCTAATCTAACCCTGCTCTCTTTCTGTTTGAAGCCATTCCTCTTTGTCCTGTCACTACATGCTCTTGTAGTGTTTCTTTCAAGCTCCCTTCAGATGCTGGAAGGCTGCCATTAGGTCACCCCTAAGGGTCTTTTCCAAGCCGAACAACCCCAATTCTATGGATACTCCGCAGGATATCCCATTCCTGGAATATTTTGGAAGCTCTCCTCCACTCCCTTCTTCTTACAGTCTACAACTACCAGGGAACAGGTTCAGCCAGATTCTCCCATCATGAGGGCCAGTGAAAAACCTGAAATAAGGATCTTAATTTATTGCAGCACTTATGAGAACTCCCTGAAAACCAAGCCCTGCAGCCTGCCTGCAGGCACTTCTGTGCCCTCCCCACACACATGTGCACAGCTGGCAAGTGCTAAAGAAGTTTCTTGGGCCAGCTGCTGCTGCCACTTCCCACTGCTGAACACTCCTTTGGGAAATCCTACCTCTGCACAGGAAAGAACCACAGGAGAAAATCAGTAAAAGGCGTTTTTTCAAGAACCACAACTGACACATTAAAATCACCAAGCACTGCTAAGAAGCACTTTGTTCGGTGCTGATCTCTGTCTGTTCCTATTTTAGTCATGACAATTTTCAACATTCTCCTGCTTGTCAAGAGAATCCTTCCAGAGCAAGAGCTCTCCTTCAGCAGGGCTGTGTGCATTTCAGAACCAGTGTCTCCATGTAGTCTTATTCCACATCACTTTAAGGCCTTCCAAGAAAACTATCACAAACAATTTGAGAAAGCTTTCTAAAAGCCCTAATCAAAATTCTCTCTCATTACACTGAGTACCTTAGCTCTACAGGGAATAAAAGGGGGGGAAATGAAACTAAGAGTTAAAATTGCTTTCTCAAAGTCCAAATCTTGAGGGTTTTCATGGCTAGCAAAGGACACTGAATTCCACAGACCAGCTAGAATCCTCTCCCTCTAGGTACATAGGTCCTGGGGACTGGCAGATGGAACCATTCAAAGCCTGGCAGACCCACACGGTGGACATCCTGAACTGTGATTTGAGAAGACTCTTAATGGTCTGTGTGGTGTCACTCACTGGAAACTGTTCCAGGGAATGGAGTCTGGAAATGGATTTAAGAGAGTGAAGAGGGTGACCAAAGGTTACGTGGGACAGAAGAGGTACGGGAACAATAGAGGTGTCAAAGATATAAACATGGCCTCCGGAAACAGGGAAAGAAAGCAGCAGCGCAGAGGTCGGTCAGCAAGAGAAGAGAATTTAAAATATCCACAAGTCGGAGCCATCCTGTGGAAATGTGGAAAGAACTGATTCTTAATAGCATGGATATTAATTGTCACCTACCTCATCATCATCTTCAGCTGCCAGACATACATATCTTATAACACAATGTGTAATTTCCGTGTACACACACGGCACAAACTGTGAATAAACTACTCAGTTTAGCTAATCACATCACTTAATGACCTACAA